CATCATGCAACGATTGCACGGATGGAAGGCGAATGTCATTTTTGAAATGGGGCTCTCGCCTAAGACTTCCGGGAATATTGTGACCCAGATTTACAAGTACTCCGACGGTAGGACCCAACATGAGAGTCCTCTCAGCTAATCTGGAAGTAACCCCCGCCCTCGTCTTCGTGATTGGTGAAGCGCCCTTAGTGTCTCCTCTGCGTCATTCTCCTTCCCGCCCTGGCACAAGCCAGAAGATGACGACAGTTACAAGATTCGGGTGGCTCGCTCGGATTCGCAACGTGGTCTGCGGGCCCCATGGGGAGGGGGGGCTCCCGCCTGAGACTTCCTTGCGTTTCACTCGCGGACGAGGCCCCCGCACGAGACTTCCTCCAGGTTCACGGCTCAGGGGCCCGAGGGTGACGATGATTGGCGGATTCGGATGGCCCGCTCGCATGAGTAGCATGATCTGCGGGCCCCATAGGAAAAGGGGGGCTCCCGCCTGAGACTTCCTTCAGATTCAAGGCTCAGGGGCCCGAAAGTGGCGACATTTAGATGATTCGGATGACCCGCTCGGATTGATAACATGGTCTGCGGGCCCTGTAAGAAGGGGGCTCCCGCCTGAGACCTTCCTCGCATTTCACTCACGGACGCGGATCCCACACGAGAGTCCCTCCAGATTGAATGCTCAGGGGCCCGGAAGTGACGACAATTAGATTATTCGTATGACCCGCTCGGATTCAAAACGTGATCTGCGGGTTCATAGGAAGGGGCTCCCGCCTGAGACATCCTCGCATTTCACTCACGGACGAGGCTTCCGCACGAGACTTCCTCCAGATTCAATGCTCAGGTGCCCGAAAGTCACGACACTTAGAGGATTCGGATGGCCCCCTCGGATTCGTAACATTATCTGCGGGTCCCATAAGGAGGGGGCTCCCGCCTGAGACTTCCTCGCAATTACTCGCAAACGGGGCTCCCTTCGGGACTTCCTTAAGATAAGCGTATGCATGTGTGTGTGTGTGTGCGTGCGATAATGACGATCATGATGATGCTGATGCTGATGACGCTGATGATGATGCTGTGACTTTGGTGATTGTGATGACGGCATGGTGGTAATGAGCGAGGTTTTGATCATAATGATAGTGGTGTCGATGTTGAATTGAGTGCGTGAGCGACTGATTGTATGCGATGAGTATGACTGATGGAGATGGTGTGTGATTGGGTAAATGAAAGATGATGATGCCGATGATGATGCTGCCGATGATAACGGTGATGATGATGATGATGATGATGATGATGATGTGGGTGATGATGGGGCTTGCGGTGTTATGATGATGATGGCGATGGTGATGATGACGATGATGATGCATGCAAGAACTAAAACAACGAGAATATTCTGGCTGGGCACTCAAGCTACGCCGTAGACCACGCCGCAAAATCTTGCGTGCTGGCTGGCCACCCTGCCCCGTCGGCGGCCATCAGTGCCCAGCGTCGCCCGCCGGTGTGAGCAGCAAGCACATCGGGGAAATCGGTCTTCCCATTTCACACGTCTGCCGCGCGATGGCCTCACGAGCCTCCCGGGGCCCTCGTGCCTTGCACCCTGCGTCCGCGCGGAGGCGCGCGCCAGGGACGTCACTCTCCGGACCCGCGTGCGCGCGCTTGACCTGGCAGACGTGCTAGGCCCAGAGCCACTCCCTCGCCTGCGTGCGCCGTGGCCCTCGCACGTCTCGTGGCCCGTCGAGCCCATTCGCGCCATGGCTCCTCAAGACCACGTCGAGTGCCGCATACATGTCGCAACATCCAGCTCTGAGCACTCTTCAAGAAGCGCGTCTCGTCCGCGCGCGGTGTCCACGATCCTGCGCCGTGTAAGGCACTACTGCCGATGGCCGCGTCGACCAACTTCCATCTCCTGGGCAGCGAGATGTCTGCGTTCATCAGCAATCGCTTCATGGTCCAGAACTTCCGCCACCCTATTGCCACGCGGTGCTCCAGCTCTGCATTGGTCACATCTGCCAGCGGAAGTTGCACCGAACACTTCCAAGGGCTCCCCCGCCTCCAACACCTTCAGCGAGAAACCGTCTTCCAACGCTACGTCGCCTCGTTGTCGAACATCGGGAAGATTCGTCTGTGCCTTGCATTTCGTAGGGTGCAACTTCAAGCCACGCTTCAGCAGTGCAGCTCGCACGGAGACGAGTGATTGCGTGAGTGAGTGAGTGGGTGAGGGAGTGAGTGATTGTATGAATGATGACGGTGTGTGAGTGATTGCGTGAGTGATTGTGCGAAGGGAGACGAGGACAACGGGGATGAAAAGTACTGCGCGCGGTGTCCCCACTTAGGACGTGGGGAACATGGTGTACATTTTACACGCGTGGACGGCTGACCCTTTCTAAAACGGTGCCATCGCCTGACATGGCCATGGTGCAGAAACATGGAGGACGGATCCTTTACGCAACGGGGCCTTGCGTGAGTGGCAGGCCCACCAGACGCCCGTCTTTCAAGAGGAACGCTTCCCGCAGTGGAAGAGAACACTTGCTGGGATTTGTGGTGGGGGGGTTGGGACGGGAGGTATGTTTCAGCATCGTTTATGCGTCCTGGGTTTACTCAAATCTTCCCCCTCCCCCTCCTCTTCGAGGCAGCCGTGAAGTCAGAAACACACAATCTAAATTTCGCCGAGGCCGCGATGAGAAACCAGCTTCGGCGGTCTCCCCCTTCCTTCTCGCCTCCCTCCCTCCTCCTCCCTCCATCCGCCCCTTCCTTCTCCTCTTCCTACGGCTTCTACGGTTTCCAGCGTGGTGAACGTTCGAAGCGTGCTAGATTGCTCTCGGCCCCAGGCAAGAATGACCCCGGGTAAGAGTGACCTCAGGTGCGCGTGTTTTTCGGGGGGCCGCGGGCTGACCAAACACGGGCGCGCAAGACGCCATTATCGCATCGCGTTCGGCAATCGGTTGACCCCAATTCGGGCGTTGGCAGAACTGGGTTTAGTGGAACCTGGTTTAGTGATGTGTACTGGGGGACGCCCCCCCGCCCCGTTCCACTAACCGGAACTGCCGTCGCCCGAAAAAACACTAACTGCGGCAGACCTGGTTTAGTGATTCTGGCCGATGAAAAGGCTCCGGGGCCCTGCCACTAACCGGGTCCCCTTTCCTGGGGTCCTGGCTATACCCGACCAATGTGCCCGCACCAAAGGGCACTCCGGCGAAGGGCCACTCTTACGTCTGGCCGAGGCTCGTGCCCAGGGTTACGGACGGGCAGGCGGCAGCTCGCGGCAGCTCGCGCGGAGCAGAGGCCTCCTCACACCCGCCACCGCCCTCTGGCGGCCGCCGCCAGACGCACTGGAGCCATCGCCGCCGCCCCGCTCCGCTTTCGGGGGCGCAGTCGTGCTGCCTCTCCTTGCCGTCGCTCGGACGTCCATTTCCCGTGCAGTTGTCGGTTTCGCGCGTGTTTTTTCTGCTCGATGGTCCAGGATGGTCCTCGACGGTTGTCGCCGAGAGAAAATGCACACGTCCGAGCGATGCCAAATCTCCGAAGCTCTCGATGCGGGCCCGTGGGGACGTGGAGCCCGAGAGCCTCAGGCCGGACCCCCCGTGGACGGGGCTCACAGACCACGAGCTGGCAGCCTGCACAACCCCGACGGGTACTCCCCTAGCGCCGCGGAGCTCCCCCGGGGCCCCTCTGCCCAGGGCCTGGCGATGCCGACCAAGGCGACTGCACCTCCCCCCCCCCCAGGCCGTTCGCGGACCTCGATTCCCAGAGGGGGAAGATGGATGGTCAGGAGCGTGGGAAGCCCTCCCAAAGCCACATCCTAACAAACACCGCGCAACCGTCACCCTATCAGCGCCAGGCAGGGGCAAGAAACATCGAACTTCGTCCAGCAACCGCGACGAGGGGGCTTGGAGGCTCCTCCTCCTCCTCTTCCTCCTCCTCCTCCCCTCCTCTTTTTTCTCCTCCTCCCCCTCCTCCTCCTCCTCTTCCTCCTCCTTCCCCTCCCTCCTCCTCCTCCTCCTCCCTCCTCTCCCTCCTCATCCCTCCTCCTCCCTCCTCCTCCTCCCTCCTCCTCCTCCTCCTCCTCTTCCTCCTCCTCGTCCTCCTCGTCGTCGTCTCCTCCTCCTCCTCCCTCCTCCTCTCCTCTTTCTCTTCTCTCTCTTTTCTCTCCTTCTCCTCCTCCTCCTCCTCCGCCTCCCCTCCTCCTCCTCCTCCTCTCCTCCTCCTCCCTCCTCCTCCTCCTCCCTCCTCCTCCTCCTCCTCCTCCTCCCTCCTCCCCTCCTCCTCCCTCCTCCTCCTCCTCTCCTCCTCCTCCTCTCCTCCTCCTCCTCATCCTCCTCTCCTCCGCTCCTCCTCTCCTCTCCTCCTCCTCCTCCTCCTCCTCCTCCTCCTCCTCCTCCTCCTCCTCCTCCTCCTCCTCCTCCTCCTCCTCCTCCTCCTCCTCCTCCTCCTCCTCCTCCTCCTCCTCCTCCTCCTCCTCCTCCTCCTCCTCCTCCCTCCTCCCTCCTTCCTCCTCCTCCTCCTCCTCCCTCTCCTCTCCTCCTCTCTCCTCCTCCTCCTCCCTCCTCCTCTCCTCCTCCTCCTCCTCCTCCTCCTCCTCCTCCTCCTCCTCATCCTCCTCCATCCTCCTCTCTCTCCCTCCTCCTCTCCTTCCTCCTCCTCCTCCTCCTCCTCCTCCTCCTCCTCCTCCTCCTCCTCCTCTCCTCCTCCTCCTTCCTCCTCCCCCCCTCCTCCCTCCTCCTCCTCCTCCTCCTCCTCCTTCCTCCTCCTTTTCCTCCTTTTCCTCCTTTTCCTCCTTTCCTCCTTTTCCTCCTTTTCTCTTTCCTCTTTTCCTCCTCCTCCTCCTCCTCCTCCTCTCCTCCTCCTCCTCTCCTCTCTCTCCTCCTCCTCCTCCTCCTCCTCCCCCCCCTCCTCCCCCTCCTCCCCCTCCTCCTCCCCCTCCCTCCCCTCCTCCCGCTCGTCTCCTTCGTCTCCCTCGCCTCCCTCCCCCCTCCCCTTCTCCCAGGCAGCCGGCGCGAGCGGGGCGCGCGTTGCCGCGCCTCGCGCGGCGCCGCGTGCCTCTCGCACAGGGGGCCGTGCAGCTTGGCCCACTGGCCGAGCGCGGGCTGCGTGCCTGCCGCCGTCCGCGCCGCCCGCGCGCGACGGGGGCGGGGGGGGAGGCGGAGGGAGGAGGGGGGGCGGGAGGAGGAGGGGGAGGGGGACAAGAAGGGGAGGGGGAGGCGCAGGGGGGGAAAAGAAGGGAGAGGGAGGGGGAGGGAGGGGAGGGAGAGAAGGGAGGAAGGGGAGGGGAGGGGAGGGGAGGGGGAGGGAGGGAGGGAGGGAGGGAGGGAGTAGGCGGAGAGAAGGAGGAGGAGGAGGAGGAGGGCGGAGGAGGAGGGAGGGACGGGTAAAGAAGGGACAGGGGAGGGGAGGGAGGGGAGGGCAAGGGGGGCCGGGAGGGTGGATGGAGGGGGAGGAAGGGCGAGGGAGGGAGGGGGAGGAGGGAGGTGAGGGAGGAGGGAGGGTAGGGAGGTAGGGAGGGAGGGAGGAGGAGGAGGAGGCAGGGTGGTGAGGAGGAGGAGGAGGAGGAGGAGGAGGGAGGAGGGAGGAGGAGGAGGAGGCGGAGGGAGGAGGGGGAGGAGGAGGAGGAGAAGGAGGAGGAAGAGGAGCGAGGGACGACGAGGAGGAGGAGGGAGGGGGAGGGAAGGAGGGAGAGGACTACTTAGTATGTGTGTATGTATACATGTATGTGTGTGTCTACACGCATACATGTGCGTACGCATGCTTGTATGCATGCATGCATGTATGCCTGTATGCATACGGTTCTGCATGTGTGTACGCGTGTATGCATGTATGCATGCATGCAGGCATGACGTTATATCTGCATGTGCATATGTCTGCATGCATGAATGTATATTTATGTATGTGTAAATGCAGACATCCATGCATTCATACATGCACGCATGTATGTATTTGCAGGCATGTCTGTATATTTATGCATGCATATATGTGTGCATATATATATACTATATTACATCTATCAATATAATATATATTAAATATATATATTATATATATATATATAATTATTGTATAACATATATAAGTTGTGGTATGTACAGTATATGCATGCGTGCATGCACGTCTGTATACGTGTACGTGTACGTACGTACGTACGTACGTACGTACGTATGCATAGAAGACCCTTCGACTACCCAAGACGATCCAACGACGGCTCCCAGGCACCCACCATTCTGCCAAGAGGGCTCCAAGACGGCTCAAGAGAGCCGCAAGACGGCCTAAGAGGGCTCCAAAACGGCCCACGAGGGCCCCAAGGGACTGCTAAGACTGCCCTACAGGAGGCCAGGACAGCCACAAGACGGCCCAAACGAAGTCCTTGAGATTTCCGCACGTAGTGAATACAACGTGTGTAACATGTGACGGCAGTCCTCCTCCTCCTCCTGCTCCTCCTCCTCCGCCTTATCGCAACCCTCCCCAGTCTGGAGACACGACACGCCACACGTGACGGCCTCCCGTGCCCCCTCGAACAGTAGCCACCTAGAATCCTGGGCTGGCACGATGGTGGGACTTGCCGGCAGCAGCTGGATGTCAAAGGACCAATGATCATAATGAGTAGCAATGACGACACATGAACCCATGCATGACTTGAGGCCCCAACCTTAGCCAGACGGGGCAGGATGACAAGACTGTGCGCCAGCCTCACACCACTAAGGACAGACGAGAATGCCTCGCTTCTTCCTCCTCCTCCTTCTCCTCCTCCCACACCGCTCATCTCCTCCTACGCCGGCCGTTCTACTTGTCCTCCTCCTTCTCCGCCTCCTCCTCCTCCTCCTCCTCTTGCCTCCCTCCCCCCCGTCCGCCTTTCCCTTTCTTTCCTCATATGTCCGTCGCCCTTGCCTCCTTTCTCCCTCCTTCACCCTCAAGCCAGCGCGAGACTTCAAAGAGAAAAACGAAATGGCAAACCAACAACACAACTGAAATGGCAACGGGCCGTCATGAATTTTGCGCAGGGTGCCAGATGTGATGTGAACGCGCATTGTCTGCCCATCTTCCTGTCCCATCTCCTCTCCCCTCTCTCGTCTTCCCCTCTCGACTGCTCCGTCCTCTCTTCCCTCCCTTTCCCCATCTGACCTTCATCTCTCCTCGCCACCTCTCCTCCCCACCGCTCTTCTACTTTTCAGTATGTCGATCTTCTGCCTTTCCTACCCCCTCTCCCATCTCTCGTCCCTCTCCCCAAGCGTGCCTTCTACATTCAACCAATCTGAGTTTCACTCTCCTCTCTCCCTGGATCCAGGACTGAGCGGGACAAGTCTTCCCCGCATTCTGTTTTGTAATGCGCATGGTTCCACGAGTGGTCTCTCATTTTTTCTCCAATGGTACCGCTTACGGTTTTTCAAACTGCTCTTCCCGCTGCAGCGTTGGCCTCATATCAAGATCGGCGCTGTGTCGCCGTCGTTCCGAATGGCGCTCTCGCTCCAACACGGGCCTGACTTCTGGATCGGAGCCCTTGGTCGCCGTTGTCGCCCCCATTTCCCATCCTCCACCCTTCACTGGTCCTCTAACTCCTCCCGCTGCTCCTACTCCTGCTCACGCTGCTGTAGCGGCTGTTCCGTATCCTTCCCCTCCTTCTTCCCCATCCTCCTCGTCATCCGCCACCTCCTCCACCTTCTCCTCTGTACACAACATCGCTTTCTGCTTGCGATGGGGTCATTCTGGGGGCTCCAGGTCCGCTGTGACACCCGTCGGCGGATATAGGCAAGATACGCAATGGGAAGATATGGGTGAGAGGCGTAGGATGTCAGATATGGGTCGAGCGCACCCTTCTTCCCCTCTCCCTCTCTGCCCTCTCCCTCTCTGCCCTCTCCCCTCGTCTGCTCTCAGCGCTCGAAATTCCAAACGCCGAAACAACCCGAGGGCCGATGGGCAAACGAAACAGCTGAAGATTTTGCCGCCACCCATGCTTAGGGGAACAAAAGGTGACATACACATAAACACTCGGAGGTCCGCGCGGATTTCTCGGATCGGCGCTGGGGCCCCCCTTGCGGCGCCTCCGGCGCCGCCCCTGGCGCGCTCCGCGCGCCAGGGAGGGGGTCCAGCGCCGATCCGAGAAATCCGCGCGGACCTCAGAGTTTTTGTTATGTTTATGTTACTTTTTGTTCCCCTAATGCTGGCGCCCACACACCTGCATCCATTAAGGCCTTGACGACAGCGGCGGTGTTCCACTTGCTCGTCGTGGCCCGAAGCGTGCCAAGCAGCATGCACAGCTGGAGGCAACGGGTGATAACCGCAGGGCAAGTGCAACACCTCGCACTGCTCCGACCCCGTATACTCCGACCCCATCTCGGAGCCTAGATCATAGCTCCTTCGGGCCGAACTTTCAAACTCTCCTGCGTCCGAAGACTGCTCGGGGCCTCCGATATTGCGAGCCCGCGCCCGCTCCAAAGCCGCCACGTCGACACGGCGCACGACCCCGCCGTGAACCCCTCTGGGGGCCACCGGGCAGCAACTGGTGAGGTCGGAAGACAACTGAGAACCTGGCGAGCCCCCTCCACTCCCCCCCCTCTTTTCCCCACCTGCCTCCTCCTGATCGACCTGATGCCCGCTGGCGCCTGTCAGCCGGCCATGGCACTTGCCGCAACAGAAAGGCCAGAACTGGGTGGATCCTGTGGGGAGCGGCGCGCAGCAATGGGAGCGCAGTAGGTCAGGCGCCCCTCCCGAGGAGAGATGCGGGAGGAGTGGGGGTAGCGGTGATCAGAGAGGAGGATGAAGAGGCACCGGCAGGAATAAGCAGGACGAGGATCATAATCATGGAGGTGCGGGGGAGCATCGGGGAGGAAGAGGAGGGGCGAGGAGGAGGAGGAGGAGGAGGAGGAGGAGGAGGAGGAGGAGGAGGAGAAAACGGATGGATGACCGATAGAAAAACCAATCGGAAGAAGAGGAACTTGACGAACCTTGACGGATCGAGGAGCGCGGGGAAGGCTCCCCTCTCCTCCCTCCTCCCTCCCTCCGCCCCCCGCCCCCGGCATCCTCCTTCCTCCGCGTGCTCCCCTCCTCCATCCCCCCCCCCCTCCTGCCTCCTCCTGCGCCCGGCCTGCCCTCCTCCCTGTTCCCCTCGCCCTCCTCCCTGGTCTCCTGCCTCCGCCCGCCACGCCTTCCTCCGTCCCCGTCCTCCGCAGCGTTCGCGCTCTTTTCCACCGTGCCCCTAAATATGGGGCGCCTGCCACCTGGGTAGCCGAAGCCAATCCGGCGCCAATCTGGCAGGCCCAATCTGGCAGACGGGGGGCAATCTGGCGAGGGAGCCAACGCGAATCCGGTCTGGCGAATGACCCAGATCATCCAGTTTGGCCGGGCCAGATTGGCCCTTAAGGGGCCCCATCCAATCTGACAGTCTGGCCTTCGACTACCCAGCTAAACATGGGGCGCCTGCGGGTCGTGCCACGCCTCCGCCTCCTCGCTCGCGCCTGCCTTTCCGCTCGCCGTCCTCTCCCCCTGGCATATAGCCGCTCGCTCTCACCCGTGCCCTTTCGCACTCGGACTCACGCGTACTCGGACTTCACTCCTGCTCGGGCCCACTCATATCCGCATCCACTCAGACTTGATTCACTCATACTCAGATCAACTCGCACCCAGACTCGCTCGCCCTCATACTCACTCACAACCTGAGTCACTCGCACTCAGTATCCCAGACTCACACGTTCAGATTCACTCACACTCGGGCCCTCTCGTAGTCAGCCTCGCTCATGCACTGACTGCCCAGAGTTAGTCATACTCATATGTACCCATGCTCCGACTCACTCACGCAGTCATACTCAGACTGGCTCGCTCTCATATTCGCTCACTAGTACTCAGGCCACATGGCATTTGAGCCACCCATTGGGGCGGGGGGATCGACCAAGTCTTTCCGCGGGCCCGTTCGTTCGCTGCTGTGGATTTCTAAAACGAAGCGCCAGCTTTGGGAAGTAGACATTTGTTTCTCAGGGCCCCATCGCCACCGCGATGCAGCAAGCATGGCATTTACGCCACCCCAGAGGGCGTCGACCAGGGGTGTTCCACGGACCCGTTCGCGCCCAGATTGCGTGGATGTTTTAAGTGAAACGCCCAGTTTGGGCAGTAGGCGTGTGTCTTCGCAGAACCCGATCGTCGCCGCGATGTAATAAACATAGCATTTGGGTCGCAACAAGGTGTCGACCAGGCGTGTTCCACGGGTCCTTTCGCGCCCAATCGTGGGGATGTCCCAGGCGAAGCGTCCGTTTTTGAAGTCCGCAGGCCCCCTTGTGGGGCCACCAAGCTGTAGGCCGAAGTTGCTGCTCTCTGTGCCAGTTGCAGTTTCAAGTCTCCAATGTTACAGTCTTGCTTTCTGCTTCCTACTGTAAATGAAATCTGCGCGAAGGGGGGGAGCCCCAAACCAGCAATTTACCACGCCCGGATCGCGTGCTCTGAATTCCCTGGGGGGCATGGGACATGACAAATATTTGAGATTCGCGCACCCGACGCCAGTCTCTCGTAGATTACAGGAAATTTACGTCCCCGAAGTAACAAACCATCGTAAATTACGCAATGTTCGCGTCCCCGAAGCCACACGCCCTCGCAAATTATGCCGTATTCGCGTTGCCGAGGCCAAGAGTGCTCGAAGGCGCCCGAAGATGGTTCCAAGACGGTCCAAGAAGGCCCCAAGAGGCCCCCAGAGGGCTCCGAGAGGCCTCCCTAGAGAGCCCCAAGAGGCCCAAATCGTAGATGTTACTACGGTGCTTGAAATATTTTGGCATTCTCGCATTTTTGGCTTCCCGATGCTCCAAGACGGCTCAAGAAGCTCCCAAGACCGCCCCAAGACAGCCCAAGACGCCTCCAAGAGGGCCCCAAGACGGCCCAAGAGGGCTCCAAGATGGCCCAAGAAGCGCTCAAGACGGCAGACGGCCCCAAGAGCGGCCCAAGCAGAGGACCACGAACCGAACATTCGATATTTATGCCCCGAGAAGCCCCCAGGAGGCCCCAAGAGGCCGTCAAGAGGCCCCAAGAGGCGCCCAAGACGCGGCCAAGAGGCCTCCAAGAGGCCCCAAGATGCTCCCAAGAGGAGCCCTAATCACCTCCAAGAGGCACCCGAGAGGCTCCCCACGACACCCCAACACATATACAAGAGGTCTCAGATCCACAACCCAGGCACGATGGCGGGCCGAAGGCCACTTGGATAACGCCAATGTCTCAATTTGCGCTGATGATTCCTATCCGCCCCCGCATGATGTTCCCAGATGCGCCAAGGCAGCGCCGAGACGCACCGACGCGGCTCTGATAGATCCCATCATGATAGAGAGGGGCCGGCGGCAGGGGGCGAAGCCCCGACGGATAGACGTGCGTCTTCTCAGAGCTCCGTCGTCGCCGCGATGCAGCAGGCGTGGCATGTGGGCCGCAAGGTGTCGACCGGTGCTGTTCCACGGGCCCGTTCGCGCCCAGATTCTGAGAACGTCTCTCAAGCGACCCCGAGAATGTCCGAACGCCACGCGACCTTGGCGCGCCCGCGCTCGCGCGCGCATCGGTGGCGGGCTCCGCTGGAGTGCACGAGGAACCAGCAGTTCGGATTCGCGCATCTGTACCGGCGCGCCTGCGGCGTCAGAGGTAGGCGCCTTTCTCCTCCTCTTCCTCCTCCTCTTCTGGCTTCTCCGGCTTCTCCGGCTCCTGCTCTATCCACCTCCCCCTCCTCCTCCCCCGCCTTCTCCTCTTCTTTATCCTCCTCCTCCTGCCTCTTCATCCTTCTTCTCACGCTCCACTCTCTTTTCCATCCTCTTGCTGCTGCACCCTCATACCCCTCCGTCCTCCTCCTCCTCCTCCTCCTCCTTCCCTCCTCCCCCTCCTCCTCCTCCTCTTCCTCCTCCTCCTCTCTCCTCTTCCCTCCTCCTCCTCCTCCTCCTCCTCCTACTCCTACTCCTCCTCCATCCTCCATCTTTCATCCTTCCTCCTGCGTCCGCTCCCTCCTCCTCACCCGTCCTCCGCCGCCCTTTCTCCTGCTGCAAGTCCTCCCCCTCTTGCTTCCAGCCTCCCTCTCCCATCTCCCATCTCCCCCTGCCGTCCTCCCCAAAATTTCGGCCTGAGTGCCTGCTTGATGATTCAAGCTCCGCGGCCCGCGTTTGGCGTCTCGGCCAGTCCTTTGCTGCCTTTCTTTCGGGCCATCGCTCCGTTCTGTCTTCTGACCTTCGTCCAGTCCCCTTCCTGGGTAGTCGAAGCCAATCTGGCAGGCCCAATCTGGCAAACGGGGGCAATCTGGCGAGGGAGCCAACGCGAATCCAGTCTGGCGAATAACCCAAATCATCCAGTTTGGCCGGGCCAGATTGGCCCTTGGGGCCCCATCCAATCTGACAGTCTGGCCTTCGACTACCCAGCCTTCGTCCCAGCGGCCTGCTTGTTTCAAGGGAGCTAGGGCTTGACGCTAATCCACGTCCAAGTAAACCCGCTCCCGCCGCAATCCCTACCCCTTACGCACTCCCGCTCCCACTCCCGCCTCTCCCGCTGCCCCTCCTGCTGCTGATCTCAACTCAGCTCCCTCATCCTCCTCCTCCTGTTCCGATCTCCCTCCCGCTCTTGCTGGCCTCCTCCTCCTCCTCCTCCTCCTCCTCCTCCTCCTCCTCCTCCTCCTCCCCCTCCTCCTCCCCCTTCCCCTTCCCCTCCCCCTCCCCATCCTCCTCCTCCTCCTCCTC